AACATTTTGCTTCCGAAGCTCTTTGAGCTGTTTCGCACTTTCTTCCGCCGCTCGGCACAAACTTGCAGCTTTTTCAAGAGTGAGTTCAGACGATTCACAAAGCAATCGTTCTTTTAATCGAATATCACTCACCCCAAATACTATACGATCTCGAATCATGCTGTCCGTTTGATCACCAAATTCACATGACTTAGCTTGTGTTTTCAACTCCGTTATAAATTGGTCGATTGTTTCGCCTTCTTGTTGTTTGCATTCCCAGAATTTATATCGTTCAAATACAGTATTCTTTCTAGGATTCACATAATCTTCAAATTTCTTCTTCAACACGCTGAACTTATCACGACCCTCGCCAAACGTAAACGTGTTGTAGATTTTGAGGGCTTCATCACCGATGAGATGAAGTAAAATTGCACACTGGACTTTTTCCGTTTCTTTGACTTTCCCTGACGCGGTCAAAAACAACTCGAATCGCTGAATCCATCGCCTCCAGTTCTCTCGCAAGTTTCCCATCAAATTCAATGCACTCGGGGGCTTAAACGTTTCCATTTTAGGGGTTTTTTTTTATTTTTACTCCTGATGCCATGTCATATTATACACTACACACGTCGCCATGTTCAACAACAATCTTTAATCATGATCATGTGCTTATCATAAATTAACATAATTATGACAGTTATAAATGGAACTAAATTCATAAACAGGAACATGAAAACCTACAACAAAACTATTCCTAAAATCAAATACCAATAAAGAAAACTGTAAACCACAAGTGTCACACAAGGCTGTGTCAGCCTTATATGATTTATCATTAGAAACTTTCAAGACCAAAGAACAAGGGAATATTCGATTGTTTAAGAGGCTGTCCGCCTAAGAGCGGTCCAATCGTTTTCGCGTCAGAAATTAAAAGTCCTTCTTAATTTTTCATTTAAAAGGACTTGATGTGCAAGTTTCAAAATGGGTATTCTTTTGAGCTCAATCTTTTTTCCGTTCAGATACAAGACCGATTTCGTTTTCTAGACTAGACACCCGTGTTGAGACCGATTCCGTACGCGAAATTTGCGAAAATCTAAAGGTGCGCTTCAGGAAAACAAACTAGTGTCAGCAAAACATTTCTATACCATAATATTAAGATACATTTTAATAGTTCATGACTGCAAGATCGTGAACAAACATAAAAATATAAATAAACTAAGCCCACTGAAAGACGCCCGTATGCTAAGGCGATCCGAATATATAAAAAATTACCCAAAATTAGAGGCTAAAATCTCGAATTCGGCGCCGATATTGGAGACAAATCACATTCTATAGTCGAGATCTTACCTCGTACTGATGGTTTATTATATCAAAGTTGTGGGTATCCCTTTGAATTTGACGCGAGTTGAATTTCCATATCGAGTAATACGCCATTGTTTACAATATCTTGTTGTCAAGTCACGGGCGCAGAGAAATATTCAAACACGCATTATAGTAATTATACGGCATTCCCAAGCAAAGTTTTATCCATAGAAGCATCTTTGACGTGTAATTCTTTCAAACTTTTCTCCTGGACCAGTGTTTTAGCGAAAGAATGAGAATATATTTAGTAAGCCGTGTTTCATTCGATTTCCCAGAGTTTCGAAAAGTGTCTGTTTCAAAAACTTTCACTGAGAAGCTAGCTGTACTTTATATATAGCAATATAATATCCACAATCAAAGTTCGTTTGCTTATTATATCCTTTGCTACTGCAGGTTTTGAACAGTATCTTTGACATTTCTATTTACCATAGTTTCCTGTCTGAGTTGGCGTAAAAATAATGAGTGAAATGTATAAACATGACTGCATTGCCAAAAATAGAATGTTCCAATCGAGGTTCTAATTATTTACAAGCATGTCACCGAGACACATCAGTAACATCACGCAACGACTGATGTATTATTAGACCAACAGTAATTCGAGGTCTGCAGTCATACTCTCGTAGTCAAACAAGATTGCTATCATGAATTATATTCTCACGAATATTTTCTGTGGCAATTGTAAACAACTGACTTTGCTTCGGTCAGCCTTTCTGTTCTTTTTGGGTACGCAAGTTTTAACATGAGTAGTTGGCCACAAATTGTGTCCATCCTGAAGGCTGAAACAGTTATACCCTAAATAGATAGACATTTCGGTTTGCTTTTACACCGAGAAAGCACCGGGCTTCTACTATATTATAATTTTGGCCGTTTAATGTCACAGCAAATTCGCATTTTTCTGATACTTATATGACTATTAATTGTGCAATCGTCACAATATGTTACAGTAACTCTAGGCAGAGAGGGGGGGGCAGGCAACGCCCTGATCACAAGTGGAGCTGGTTGAATAAATTAAAAGGTAATTTATATAAGTAGCTACAGGTATCGCAACGCCCTGTTGTCAAATTGAAATGGCATCGTCTCCGACAGTGAAGTGTTTTATGTCTTTTCGTAATGCTGATGCCTGCGGTGAATTTAAAGGCCATCAAGATCTGGAACTACATAGTGAATGCAAAAATAATATAACAGCCCATTTGCAGCGATGTCATCTTTCAAAAGGAGGAATAAATAGCGAAGGGGAGTTGATTATGATGCGGGCTGGATTCCTTTACCCAACGGAGCAACACTAATTCCAAACAATGTTTGTATGCCCGAGACATCGAGCGAATCTTGGTGAATACTGGGGAAACCAGAGTCGAAGTTCGGCATGCCAATACCCTGAGCACAGAGGAAAGAAGAAAGGCGTCAAGAACGATAGAGTAGTGTCCGTAAAGATCGCACGAGAAGTCCAGCAAATGTTTGCTGTTATTATTCCCGTCGGAATGGGTAAGGCTATGACGAATTTTCGACGAATTTAGCGCAATACACAGTATATTCTCTTTAATTGTGCCCTTTCCAAACATTACCAAATTTAAACCAAAAACCATTATACAAAGTCTTTTAAACGATTATGTTTTGGTTGCTATTGTTTCTAGCTATATGCAACAGCTGTAGAAAAAGACATAATGAAAAACTAAAGGAATATCAGTCATCGTGCCTTGAAGAAGACGACACCCAAGATGATGGTTTAAAGCCGCAATCAAGGTAAAATATGCTGCTAAAATTTATGATAATTATAATTATTATACATTGTAGTTGGTAAAAGCAATTTGATTGGCTAAGAGCTTACAGTTAAATCGCGCAATGACGCAACCTACAGATATGCGTGAGCCTAACTGCTAGCAGATAACTGAGTTATCTGCAAATGAGCCTGTGATGATTAGCAAACGATATCTATTTAACACAAACAAATGTACACTATAATAAAACAACTGTTGAATTCGGTTTTTGCGATATGCAAAATTATCAAGCTAATGAGCCTAACTGCTAGCAGATAACTGAGTTATCTGCAAATGAGCCTGTGATGATTAGCAAACGATATCTATTTAACACAAACAAATGTACACTATAATAAAACAACTGTTGAATTCGGTTTTTGCGATATGCAAAATTATCAAGGTCTCGGTAAGCGTTATCAGCGATAACGCTTACCTCGACCTTGATAATTCCGCATATCACAAAACCCTCATGTTAATTATTATAATCATTATAATCGTGATCATTATAATCATTATAATTATTGTAATTATTATAATTCTCATTTCATTATTATTATTAGCTGTTCATTTTATTATTATTAACTTTTCATTTTATTATTAATTAGCTAAGCATTATGGGATTTTTGTGGTTCATACAATAGCACAAGCGCATTTGCTAAAATATCATTTACTGCTCTTTTCTTAATATTAGGAAGTGCAAAGAGGTGACCATTGGCGCAATAACGTCGTATGCAGTTCCGGCAACTCCATTGGCGGTGGCGAGTACAAGTGAAGATCCCACTTGGACGCCAGGTAATTGGCGCACTGTGGAGAACTCGGAGAGTTCTGACGAGGCTGAGTCACGCCCTGATGCGGTGCTGAACGCCTATAATGATTCAATGGCAAAGATCGCGTCCCTGTCAGATGCAAGAGTAGTTTCTCTCGAATCCAGACTTCAGTCTGATTGGGCAAGTGCTTCAGAGAACGAGAAGGCGAGATGGGAAAAGCATGTTGACGAGGCTTGTAGGGCAGTGTGTCGAGTGATTGCCCCAAAAGCTTCTTATGAGCTCTTGGCGGCATACCGAAAGTCATCAGTACCAGGAAAGGCAGAAAACCATCCTCGTACCCAGGCCGAAAACGCACTAGTCGCTGCTTACCAAAACGCACCAACGAAGAGCCTTAAGACACATATCCTCAGTATATATGCGCCAAGGTATACAGCGAAAGAGCTGAAATCAATGCACGGTGAATTCGAGCAGCTAAGTGATCGGCAGATAAAAAAGGCAAAGGCACATGCTAAAACCGTTGGCGCTGGACTGACCTTACCGAAAATCGTACACCACAGGACGCGAATAGATCTATCCAAGCTTAATCATTTTTTGACATTTGCTGATCAACCATACTTCTATCAAGACGTGTCGTATGGCACTAGAATGTTGAAGCTGCAGTCGGGAGAGCGCGCGCAGATCATGATGCCCAACGTTGTGCGCACCGTTACCAGATCCACTATGATAGAACAGACTAGCGGCTAAATCGAGGAATGCACATTTGCCCGACGCCATCTTGAATTCCGCGCAATGACCTGGGTCTCAGTTATGATGTCATAGTATCTATCATGAATGATGTAATCAAAACAAACGTTTCGCGGGAAAATGAAAATATTGGATTCTGATTGGATAATTGTCACTCGCACATGCCTAAATACTAAATTGTTATGTATATAAATAAAGCTAGTTTACAGCAGCAAAAATCACAATAAATACACTTTTGATGCTTTTAAATCATAAATAATCATATTATAATGACTTATTTTAGCTTTTGATTTCATATAAAGGAAAATAAACCGATCGAAAATACAAAATAACAGCATTTCGCGTATCGACATTTTTCACAGTGATTTGTATGCATTAATCGACACTTAGTCTCTGGCACGCAAATTTACTTTCGTATAGTGAGCACATAGTTGTGTGCACGGTAGATGGAAATTCCGAAAATACCCTTCGATTCTGCATGAAATTCTGTATCAACAGCCCTAGTTTTCCTTTTTCATTCAAAAACTGAACCGAGATATTCGCCCTTTAATACTCTAAAACTCGAGTCTTTACCCTACTATAGGAATTTGTGTACAGAGTAGATGGAAAATCGGAGAACACCATTGAATTCGCCATAAAAATCAGCATCTTTTCATAGTAAATATCTCTAGTCAATTTAATAAAGAAAACTTTTTATCGCGTGTTTACTTCCCAGCTGATAATAGAAATGAACTACGGATGTAGACAAAGGATACAGGAGCACTTTAATGGATAACCATTTTACTAATTCATCATTATCATAAGATAACCACAGATGTCCCCAGTTAATAATGATTCAAGATGGCGTCGGGCAAATGTGCATTCCTCGATTTAGCCGCATGTATAGAACAGTATTTCAAGCATTGTAGTGATGACGATTTCGAACCGCTTGGTAGGTCGACACTGTTTCAAATTCTGAAAGTTAGAGAATCGTCCCAAAGAATATCACTGCAGGGACTTGACAACATTGCAGCAAGCGGCGCCGATGGTTTTGACATGCTTCACAAAATTGTGGACGATCTGGAACAGTCTGGATCCGAACGGTGCTGGTGAGAGACAACGCGTACAAATTTGAGAGATGGCAAGCGTTATCTGAAAACAGAATATCGTGCGCACTGCAGAGAGAATGAGAGTACCTGTCCTGACCACTGCAAACGTTACGCACTCAGTGATACTTAGCCTGCGTGGCAGGCGGTATTTCTACAGGCAGCGAAAATTAGGGAGGCAAAGGAAATACCGTCTGCCGCAAAACTAGGGGTTTTTGAATTACCCGTCCGCTGGTGAACGGGAAAAACGGATTGGTTAGTATTTTTATGTAGTTGTCAATCAACGGCTAAATTCGGTTAAATGTTAATCATTAACCAAATGTTTTGACGTTTTGAAACTATGCGTTTTGAAATTAGTTCACGTCAAGTCAGATCAGAAATGGAATACCATAATAAAAGAAGCAAATTTAAAGATGCAAGCTGAAAAATAACTCTCTAAGTAGTGTTTTTGATAGCGATTCGAACAAGAATATTTAACAAAGAAGATACGTCCGAAGGGGCCGAAGTTATGATCGGCGAAAGGTATGGGCTAGTCTATATTTTCGTTCAGACAATTACATGCGTATTAATTTGATAATATACGATCTCGCCTGACTTTCAAAGGCCATAAATCGCAATGATGTTGACACTTTACTAAAACTGTCGATAGAAATTAGGAGATATTTCTTCACTGAATCGAACGGTGGGATTTTCATATAGGCCTATCATGTTCTAAACCAAAGATACTTTATCGATATACGAACCTCCAAAGTATAAACTAGGGGCCGGTTGATGCAGTAATTATCAAATAACAGTTAAACTTTTATATACCCGTTGAATATGTATAGTTGTAATTTGTAAACAAATAAAAACTATCGTTCTATAAGGTTCAAAACTTTCAGTTTGGTGTTGACTGATGATGAATCTATAGTATAGACATGCATGCTTTGTATTTTGAGCTTATTAAACCACCGTTTTAAGGCAGCTAAACGGGCTTGGTTTATATTAACATGTTACGAGGCTTTATTTATAGGTAGTGTAGTGAATCGTTACAACAGTCTTGAATAAGTATCAGTTCTTAATATAATGTTCGTCTTCTTGTAGTAGTTTTCCAAGAGTTCACTTCATTGAGAATCCACTGAAAGATCACCCACTGGCGAGTCTCGGTTGTGCTTACCAAAACGCTGCTTACCAAAACGCACCAACGAAGAGCCTTAAGACACAGATCCTCAGTATATATGCGCCAAGGTATACAGCGAAAGAGCTGAAATCAATGCACGGTGAATTCGAACAGCTAAGTGATCGGCAGATAAAAAAGGCAAAGGCACATGCTAAAACCATTGGCGCTGGACTGACCTTACCGAAAATCGTACACCACAGGACGCGAATAGATCTATCCAAGCTTAATCATTTTTTGACATTGCTGATCAGCCATACTTCTATCAAGACGTGTCGTATGGCACTATAATGTTGAAGCTGCAGTCGGGAGAGCAGATCATGATGCCCAACGTTGTGCGCACCGTTACCAGATCCACTATGATGTAACAGACTAGCGGCTAAATTGAGGAATGCACATTTGCCCGACGCCATCTTGAATTCCGCGCAATGACCTGGGTCTCAGTTATGATGTCATAGTATCTATCATGAATGATGTAATCAAAACAAACGTTTCGCGGGAAAATGAAAATATTGGATTCTGATTGGATAATTGTCACTCGCACATGCCTAAATACTAAATTGTTATGTATATAAATAAAGCTAGTTTACAGCAGCAAAAATCACAATAAATACACTTTTGATGCTTGGTTGTGCACGCACTTTTATACTAACGGTTGAGGGATCTTTGTACACGTGATGTAGCAAGTGGTGTGATTTGTATCCAGCCAATCAAAGTTGAGGTTTGAAAGTGTGGGTTGGCGTTGCTAGCTCGTTCCAGCTCTCAAATTCTGTTTATTTAAGGCGTTGTCACACTGGTCGAGTTGGTTCGCTGTTCAATTGATCAATGTTAAAATATGTCCACAACTTAAAATACTCATCAAAATATCATAGTAAAAACTTCAAACTATACCTATGTGAACCTTACTTTAACTACTAAACTAAATTTACTTACAATTTTATTGAACCAAGATTTTGATGACGTAATGTTATTCTTACTCAACCGCGCGAAATATACCGAAGAATGATTGACAGAAAGGCCCTAAGCATGCACATTTTCATGTCAGAGAAGAACCAGCCGAGGACTTTGAAAATGTGCATGTAAACACAACAGCCCACCATGCAAGGCTATCGTCCAACTTTGACAGTTTGACAAATCATTTATCTTGCCTAAGGGACAGATAATTGACACTTTTACACAAGTCCGAAATTATATATACTTTATCTGCGTTTTACACAAAAATGCTCATCATCTCTCCATTTGACGTAACTAGTATCAATAATTTCCTGGGTTGCAAATTGAAGTATTTTTTATACTATTTAGATATACTTTCGTAACAAACACATAAAATAAATTCCTTGATTCTCATCACTAGACACAGTCTACACTTTGAAATGTCGAAGACAGTGGGAGATTTATTTTTTATATTTTATATTTATATAATTTATATATCAATAGTTCGTATCTCCACGAACAATGACAAAATGACTGAGTTTCTTTAAAATACAATAAAATTTCATTCAAAATTCTGTTTGTTTCAAATTGGAAGTTTAAAATGGCAATAAAAACCCTATATAAAATATAAAAAAATTAACTGTCTTGAATTATTTTGTCGGGTGGTACATTTATATTGTATAACGAAATATAAAACATTTTCACGAGGATTTTAAAATTCAGTCGGGCGGTGATGAGAATCAAGGAATTTATTTTATGTTGGGCAGTTGGGACTTGGGAGCAACTTGGGAGTGGCTAATTTTGAATATTTACTTAATGACATCTATAAATAGCTTTGATGCTTCAGGGGCGGTAGCTCATTTACACCCAGTTTTGCGGCAGGCGGTATTTCCTAGTACCGCCTGCCATGCAGGCTAAGTGATACTCAGAACAGCGCGCTCAAAACGGAATGCGATCACACCCATGGCACAGAATATCCACAGTGTGAGTTACTGAAGAGCACACTGACCTCCATCCAAACACAAATTAGCTCGCTTTCAGTGCAACTATACGGACAGGAGCAGAAAGAAGACCTGCTGTATGACGCCAAACTTGCTAAGGATATGGTGTTGGAATGGAAAGCGCATATCCTGAGAGCACAAAACCAGGATCAGGCCAAACAAGACGCATTGAGGTCCCTAGATAGTACTACTGTGTTGGTGATCATGGATTGGGCGGTGAAATTCACCCAAATGAAGTACCGTGAGAAGCAATCCGAATGGTACGACAAACTTGGCTTAAACTGGCATGTTAGCTGCATTATTTCGACGTCTGATACAGAGCATGATCTCGAAGTCGCCTCGTACGTCCACTTGTTTGATAGCTGCGCTCAGGATTGGTACGCTGTGCTTTCCATTGTCACCCATCTCTTGAGAACAGCTAAAGCCACTCAGCTTCAGATCACGAAGGCATACCTCCGCTCGGATGGAGCCGGCTGCTATCATAACAACGACCTTATTGCAGCTGTCAGTCAAATCGGCAAGCACATCGGAATCCAGATTCTCAGGTACGTTTGATAAATGTTCTATATATGTAAAATAACTCGAAACTCATGATTTTAGGAGAATTTACGCAGTGAAATGCTACTTTTGACGATGCAACTTTTTTTCCATGGCAGCCTTGCTTTTCAAATTAATTCCGCAAACGATGTATGAGAGATGGATAACAATCTAATACTGTTTTGAAAATCTAGAACAGTTTTGAATACTTGTGAAAAATCATTGTGAAAAGGGATCATTCCAAGCTTCTGTGCTAAAACCAAGAGCAAAACGCTATACTAATTGGTAAATCGCGCTCAATGGATTTTTACTCCTTTATTTATGCAGGTACGATTTTTCTGAACCTCAGTTTGGAAAAGACGTGTGTGATAGAATTATCAGTCCGTTGAAAAGTGCTCTAACAAGGTACTGCAATGAAGGGAATGATATTTTGAGTGCATCCGACATGCACCGTGCACTGGGAGCAAGAAAAGTCAAGGGTACCATGCACTGCTGCCGTGTGTGAGGTAGATTCCAACCAAGCAGTCGTCACGGTGAATCGGTTGGCAGGAATCAGCTCCTATCACAACTTCTCTTATCAGCCAGAGGGCATCGTCGTATCCCGTGCTTATGGAATTGGCCCAGGCAAGCTAATCAAGTGGAACGTCCTGAATATTAAATGCGAAAGCCTTATCATCGCAAAGGACAGCGGGAGCGAAAAAGGCTTTTCCTCCGTCACACCGAGGCGCATGACGCTGCCTACTGTGCAAGAAGAGGAAGCCGATGTTGTTGATGACGCGAGTTATCAGTGCAACGAACCTGGGTGTTCATACGTTTCCGCAAACTTTGAAGCGCTGCAAGATCACATAAACTTTGGCAGGCATGTGCTGAGTACAAAAGCCAACGAAGGAATTTACGACAGACTTCGCCGGGAATGGGCACACAAGTTCGCAACACTGTCCATTGAACCCGGAAATAGAACGTCAAACATTCCGGTCAAAGTCTCTTATTCGCGCCAAGATTGGACTCCTGAGTCACGCGGGTGGGCTTTGCAGAATCCAAGAGGAGGCGGGACGAGGTTTAGTGAGAACATAAAAAGCTATCTACAATCACGATTTGATACAGGAGAGCTGACAGGTAAAAAGGCCGACCCGAACCAAATTTCTAAGGAAATGAGAGCTGCCAGCAATCTCGATGGTACCCGAAAGTTCAACAGGGAAGTATGGTTAAACAAGACCCAGATTCAGTCATTTTTTTCAAGGTTGGCAGCCAGGAAGCGTAAACGGCAAACAGAAGGTAAAGAAACTGCTTTAGGAGGTGATAATGCAGACGCAGAAAACGAGGAGCAGTTCTTGGAGGACGAAATTAAATTCCTGATCGAGAAACACCGAAACCAGGTCATAGAGGAGGTGCTCGATCAAGTGGGATTGGTGAACCCCATCACGTATGATGGGTACAACATCTGCGAGCTAGCCAAGCTTGACAAGTTGTCGCGGTTCAAAGTGGAAAAAACTGAACGAAATGTGTAACTTTTTTGAGTTATCTCCTAAATCTAGAGACACAAAGCCTTTATTAATTGAAAGAATAAAGCGCATGGTTGAGGAGTGTTTCTGCACCTAGACCTTAGGTCCAAGCCATTCATCACAACACCTGAGTATTAATTGAACAAATAAAATTTTGTCAACCACATTATGAATGGCACATTATGGAAAATCGTGTTTTGCCCTAACTCGATATCTGCGTTTAGAAAAAGAAAGGAAACTCCTGGATTTATTAATTACTACATAACTTGTCGTCGCGTGATGTGTCTCGTGACATGCTTGTAATTACAACGTTATATTATTGGACAGAGTCGTGTTTACACCAGACAGGAAATTATACGTGTTTACATCAGACAAGAAAATATGACAGCCGAAAATGTGCTAAATATAAAAGATACTGTGCAAGCAAAGGATACTAAGCAAACGAACTTTGATTGTGGAAATTATATTCCTATATAAAGTACAGCCTGGTCCAAGAGAAAAATTTGAAAGAATTACACGTCAAAGATGCTTCTATGGATAAAACTCTGCTTGGGAATGCCGTATAATTACTATAATGCGTGTTTGAATATTTCTCTGCACCCGTGACTTGACAACAAGATATTGTAAACAATGGCGTATTACTCGAGACGGAAGTTCAACTCTGAAAGGATATTCAAAATTCAAAAGAATAACAAAGAATAGCTGTCAATAATCAAATAATCAAAATAAGAATAATCTAGTCTAGGCGATTAATTTAAAGATGATTCAACTCGTCAATAGACAAGGAAATTTTGTGGATTTACGAAACCTGAAGTTTGCAGAGAACTTGCAATGTCTATATAATGTTTCTCTCATATACAGCGACCTCCACTTGGGCAAATGTTTGAAAATTCTGAGAATATATTGCCGCAGCAGAGATAGAAAAATTTGTAAAAAACAGTCGAACATGTATATATCGACCACCTGCTCGACATCACGGAGCATTGGCATTGGTCGAAACAATTATTTAGAAAGTAGTATGTTGTATAATTGCTTTCTTATTGTGAGTTGGTTTAGAATAACATAGTTTTTAATGTAAAAATCGAAAGCGGGACGCGAGATGGTATTTAATTTCTTTTTATTTCGTAATTAACGACTCGACGAAACGTGCTTTTTCGCTTGGGCCACTTGTACTTTCAAAACAAACTTCCATTGACATGTCTCACCATCGCAACTATTCTCAAGTTGTTTTCGAAAAGGCAAAACTGCAATTGCAAATTAATAATATATGTTGAACGAGAACTATAGATAATCATGCACTTTACACAACTTTAAAATATCACATATAATAATATGAAAATGTTGAGTGTAAATTTTATACATTTATTAAAAGGCAACGAGGAGTAGTTGTGAAAAATACAACCATATATACACCCTCTGACAGGAATCAAACCTGTGGTCCTGTGATTCCAGTGTAGCGCTCTAACCAACTGAACTACACAGTCCACCTGGATAGTTCATCATGTACTATTTAAAACATACACTGGAAATTTCCATCTACAAAATCCTTCAACATTATTCTTCAATCAACTGAGATGCCCAAAAATCATCATAATAATATGAACCCCCCACACACACACACTTTCCTTCAGGATCAATTTTGCAATTTTTTCAACACTTAGGAGGAACTGGGGGGGGGGGCTGTAATCTCTTAATGTTTTCATTTATGATATAAAATATACCGAATGGCTTTCACATTATCATAAAACGTGTCTAAAATGCATGAAATATCCTAAAACTCTTCCGGGAGACCATCTCCTCTCCCGCCCCCACCTTTGGGGGTAGCAACGCCCCTGTCCCCCACAATTACAGAAGCTACCCCATCACTAATAAAGATATAAATAGTTTGGTCTGCGGACGTGCCATTGATCAGCATAATATTTCAAGTAAGTCTTTGACATTTAAAAGTGAAAATACTTTGCCGTAGAAAATAAAACAGTCTTACTTTTAAAGTTTGGTCTTTAGACGTGACATTGATCAGCATAATATTTCAAGTACAAGGTCATTGAAATTTGAAAAGCCAAAAAATACAGTGGACATATTAATGCTAGGATTTTAAGACGTACAATGTCAAAAGGATTTTAAATTAACTTTGCCGTAGAAAATAAAACAGTCTTACTTTTAAAGTTTGGTCTTTAGACGTGACATTGATCAGCATAATATTTCAAGTACAAGGTCATTGAAATTTGAAAAGCCAAAAAAACAGTGGACATATTAATGCTAGGATTTTAAGACGTACAATGTCAAGGATTTTAAATTTAGTTTGCCGTAGTATATAAATATATCTTATATTAATGTTATGTAAATCCATATCATTCTGTTCTTACTGTTTGCAGTTTTGAAAAACAACTGAAGAGCATGGTGAGACGTTTGTTTTGGCATTTGTATAAACACTGCCGAACGTGCGGTATTTCACTTATAAAATATAGGAAATATAGTTCGGTATTGTATTTACAAAATATATGAAATATTTTCAAACATATCAAGACACAGAAGCATGCTATGTCTTCTTCATATTACCATTTTATGATAAAAGAAATGTATAGTTCGCTTGTGTACGTCATTTATACACTTGAGTACTTGAAATTCAGGTCTCATATTTAAACACATCGGCGTTATTTTTATGTTTAATTCTTCAGAAGTCGCGCGAGCATGGAATCTTTTTATTTTATCAACCTCATATTCATATTTTCTGTGAACGTATTCTCCTTTTTCTCAGGAATATGTTTAAATTCCTTGGTCATACTCAGTTTCTGGAGGTCTGTGCAACTTCGAAAGAAATTATGTCATTTCATGATAATGCTTTTGTCCTGTTGCGATTTGCTCGCGCTTTTAACTAATAATCCATTGCTGGCCCTTATCACGATGTCATGGTTGACGGGGAAGGTGGATGTAAATGCTAGATGGGCTCATATTTCCTTAGCATCGACAAATATTTTCCTTCGGTTTTCATATTTCGCTCTTTTGGTGGCGAATTTCGATCGATATTTGGCGACATCTTATCCTATCTTTCATCGAACATCGGTAACGAAGGGAAGACTTTTAACTCTTCTTGTAATACTGATCATCTTCGAAACAACTTTGGCTGTGATGTCTGTAAACGACTTGGTTATTTCCTACCAAGTGCATGCTATAACTTTTTCTGTTCTTCTCATTCCTGCAATGTTATTTATCAACTACAAACTGTTTCTAGTCGTCAGGAAAAGTCGTAAAAACAAAAGAATATCGCCCGATATAAAAAGGACGTTTTCTTTGAAATACATATGGAGTTGTTTGCTGGTAGTCGCTTGTCTTGTGGTGTTCTCCATTCCAGGGTACGTCTACATTGGACTAAGAATAAACTCGCCAGAGACAAAATATACTTTGGATAATGCAAAAATCGCACTGGTCTGGGCTATAACCATATCTTTGATGAATTGTACATTTAACTGTTTAATCTTTTACTGGAAAAACAAGGTGTTACGTACCGAAGGATTGAAAGTTCTGAAAAGTCTGAAAATATGTCGACGGGTTGAATCGTAGCTGCATTAATAACCCTTCTTCAAAAAAACTTAAGATTCGAAGGAAACTCATTAACAATATCTTGATCATAGTAAATGTGAACACAACTGTACACTTATATTGTTCTATATATTAATACGCATATCATCATCACTATAAGAAAGACAGTAGCTGTAATAGGGTATATAAGCCACTGTTATGCTTGTAATTTCATCCATTCCTGAAGATAACTAAAATATAGTCGAATAAAACGTAGAAAAATAAAAATGCTTTCATTTCTTTAAATTATTTCATTACATAGAGGGTGTATAAAAAATTTGCCATGTTATTGTGCGTTAATTAAGTGTTGGGTATGTACACATTTAATTTTCTCATCCTAATAAAGATTAGGCTTTTAACAATCGAATGAGATATTTTTTCTATCATTGCGTTAAAAACTGAACTATCACAACAATTTAAAATGGCCGATTTTTCTGCCGTTACATGATATTTACATTTATTGTTGAAATTATTTTCTGAAAGAATATTCAAAATTCAAAAGAATAACAAGGAATAGCTGCAAAAGAATACTCAAATAATCAAAATAAGAATAATCTAGTCTTGGCAATTAAATTTAAAGACGAGTTAACTCGGGATTAGACAACGAACTTTTGTGGATAAAACATTTTACGAAACCTGAAGTTTCAGAGAACTTGCATTGCCTATATAATGTTTCTCTCATATACAGCGACCTCCATTTGGGCAAATGTTTGAAAATTCTGAGAATATTTTGTGGCAACCGAGGTAGAAAAATTTGTTTTAAACAGTCGAACATGTATATATCGACCATCTGCTCGCCATGCATCATGGAGCATTGGCATTGGTCGAAACATTTATTTAGAAAGTAGTATATTGTATAATTACTTTCTTATTGTGAGTTGGTTTAGAATAACATAGAGAAATAGAGTTTTTAATGTAAAAATCGAAAGAGAGACACGAGCTTGTATTTCTGTGTATTTCGTAATTAACAACTCGACGAAACGTGCTTTTTCGCTTGGGCCACATGTACTTTCAAAACAAACTTTCATCTACATGTCTCACCATCGCACCTGTTCTCAAGTTGTTTTCAAAGGCAAAACTGCAATTGCGAACTAATAATATATGTTGAACAAGAACTATAGATAATCATGCACTTTACATAACTTTAAAATATCACATTTTTATATACTACGGCTAGCAAAATAACAAATTACTAAAATAAAAAATAAAATATAAAAATTAATAAAGCTTTTAGCATTGGACGTTTGAATTCATACAATAATAATAGGAAAATTTCGAGTGTAAATTTTTTCATTTATTAAGACCCAGTCAGGAGCAGTTGTGAAAAATACAACTATATATAAACCCTCTGGCAGGCATCAAACCTGTGGGCCTGCAGGGGGCCTGTGATTCCAGTGCAGCGCTCTAACCAACTGAACTACAGAGTCCACCTGGATAGTGCATCATAAATGTATAAAATTTACACTGGAAATTTCCATCTACAAAATCCTTCATCATTATTCTTCAATCAACAGAGATGCCCAAAAATCATAATAATAATATAACCGCCCCCCCGTGCCCCACACTTTCCTTCAAGATCAATTTTGTAATTCTTTCAAAATTGAGGAGAAACTGGGGTGGATTGTAATCTCTTACTGTTTTCATCTATGATACAAAATATACCAAATCTATGGCTTTCGCATTATCATAAAACGTGTCTAAAATGAATGAAAATCCTAAAACTTTTCCGGGAGACCATCTCCCCTCCCGCTTCCCACCTTTGGGGGGTGGCCACGCCCCTGCCCCCACGATTACATAAGCTCTCCATGCATCACTAAGACATTGATCGGCATAATACTTCATGTTGAAGATCTTTGAAGTTTAAAAAGTCAAAATGACAGTGGACATATTAATTCTTGGATTTTAAAACATACAATGTCAAAAGGATTTTAAATTTAGTTTGCCGTAGTATGTAAATAGGTTTCACTTGTAAAGATATTTAAAGTACATGTTCTGTTATTACTGTTTGTAGTTTTGGAAAACAACTCGAGAGCATGGCGAGACATTTGTTTTGAGGGGACAGATGGCCCAAGAGAACAGCACGTTTCATCTTACTGCCGAGTTAAACACATAAGATGAGGCTAAAACCCAGGCTAAACCTATACTTATATAAAGAATTAGACTTCAGATATAAACTGTTTTCCCTGGAGGTCCAGTAAGGGTCATCTCTTATATTGAATCAGGATTACCACAGGTGGAAACCTAAACTAACTTTATTTATATTGCATGGATAGCTCTATCAGTTCTAAATCAGTATAACGAACGCATTCTCTGTTGTATATTTGCTGCCTGTTTGTTTAACAATATATACAAATTTATACAAAAATCTTAAAATACAAAAAAGGCTCAGATCATCTACATCAGGAAATACAGAAGCATACTAGGTCTTCCTTGCATTAGCATCTTATGACAGGAAATGCGTAGTTTACTTGTATATGTCATTTATGCGCTTGAGTAGTTGAAATTCAGGTCTCATACTTAAACACAAAGTTTTAGTTTTATGTTTAATTCTTCAGAAGAAGTCGTTCGAGGATGGAATCTTATTATTTTATCAACCTCGTATTCATCTTTGCTCTGAACGTATTCTTCTTTTTCTCAGGAATATGTTTAAATTCCTTGGTCATACTCAGTTTCTGGAGATCCGTACAACTTCGATAGAAATTATGTTATTTCATGATAATGCCTTTGTCCTGTTGCGATTTGCTCGCGGTTTTAACTAATAATCCATTAATAGCGCTTATCACGATGTCATGCATGGTTGATGGGAAAGTTAGATGTAAATGCTAGATGGGCTCATACTTCCTTAAAATCGACAAATATATTCCTTGGTTTTTCATTACTCGCTCTTTTGGTGATGAATTGCGATCGATATTTGGAGACATCTTATCCGACCTTTCATCGAACAAAGGTAAGGAAGGGAAGACTTTTAACTCTTCTTGCAATACTAATCATCTTCGAAATAACTTTGAAAGTGATGTCTGTAAACGACTTTGTTATTTCCCACCAAGTACATTCTATAATTCTTTGTATTCTTCTCATCCCTGCAATGTTATTTATCAACTACAAACTGTTCCTAGTCGTCAGGAAAAGTCGTAGAAACAAAAGAATGTCACCCAACATGAAAAAGACGTTTTCTTTGAAAAATATATCGAGTTGTTTGCTAGCAGTCGCTTGGGTTGTGGTGGTTTCCATTCCAACGTTCGTCTACATTGGATTAAGTATAAACTCGCCAGAGACAAGAAATACGTTGGATAATGCAAACCTTGGATGGATCTGGACTATAACCATAGCTTTGATGAATTGTACATTTAACTGTTTAATTTTTCACTGGAAAAACAATGTGTTACGTACCGAAGGATGGAAAGTTCTGAAAAGCGTGAAAATATGTCGACGCTGAATCCTATAGCTGCACTAATAGCCCTTCTTCACTAACAATATCTTGCTCATATAGTAAACGTGAACACAACGAACTGTACACTTATATTGTTCTATATACTAGAAAATACATGCATGCAGAAACCCTCGCCTTGCTGACAAAACCGTTGTATTTTCCGAACATGAAGTATCTAAAGTAGTTGTCATGGTCACAGAAGAAAGACATACAGAAGTGTAACTTCCATTACAAAACCGTAAGGCGCTTTTTACCGAAATAGCTGGCGGCCATGTTCTTAGCAAGTGCCCTAAAGAGAGGCATTCACCCCCCTGGAATATTAAATTTTCAATATGTTTTCAGGGGGGGTGACTGCCTCTCTTTAGGGCACTTGCTAAGAACATGGCCACAGAATAGGAAGTTATACCAGAAGCGTAACTAGAGCAAATATTTGTCCGCGTTTTTACAAGCGATTCGTCATCAATCACGCCATCCTGGCTAGTACAACCGGCACTTTTACCTACCAAATCCTGATAAAAACTTCCGGCTGTACTAGCCAGGATGGCGTGGCCTGACGTGAGCGAGTTAAAAATTTTCGTGGACGTCAAACAGTAAGGGAAACGACTAGAGTTACGCTTCTGGTATAACTTCCTATTCTGTGACATGGCGGACTGAAAAAATCCCTTACGCACTTTTAATAAGAAGATACACTTCTGTATGTCTTTATTCTGTGTCATGGTAACACGATAATTTTTTAAGAATATTCTTACAAACAAAGTGAAAATCGCCTAAAAATATCACTTTTAATTACAAAATTATCAATTTCCCAACATATTATGTTAGGTATGTAATTATACGTAATACAAGCTTCAATTTAAGGTAAAATTCAACCACAAACAATTCACAAAACGTTTTAAAGTGTTCTTTATAAAACTAAACTGCCTTTATTATTAAATGGCTTTATCGATAAACTTTGAGTTTGCAATAAAATGATTTCAAATTCTCGCTTGCAAATAACTTTGCTTTATTTTTTATTTAAAAAAATCAATATAATAAAAAGGGAATGAATATTAAAGATACACTGAAATTATATGCTATCTTGTTTAGTTGTTTCATATACGCAAAGGCCGTCGGGTTTTAAATCCATTATAAAATCAATATTTAAAACAAACTTACCTTCGTTAACGTCGGCTCCCTTCTTTTAGCTGATTCTTTCGCCCTTTCATTCTTGAAATTTACAAAATCTTGCAGAAATACGAGCAAAAATGAAGAATATTTGCAAGAAATTTATCAATCATCAACTCATCCAAAGATTAAGTATATATTATATATACTTAATCTTTGACTCATCAAATCAAGAAATGTTTGCTATTTCGCTGTCGTCATGCAGCCGTTATAATGCAAACTTTAAATTGGACCAATCAGTGTCCGTTATTCATGACAGTCCGCCATATTTTTGAGATCAGTGAGGATGACCACCCATCGTTGGTGACCGACGCCCGCGCTCATTGATGAACTTTAGACTTCCCTAATGCTTTCGTTTCCCCGGGTGTAAATAGCCGGGGGGAATTAGTACCCTCGCACGGCGCTTCGCGCCGCCGGCTCGGGGATTAATACGCATATCATCATCACTATAAGAAAGACAGTAGCTGTAACTAGGGTATATAAGGCACTGTTATGCTTGTAATTTCATCCATTCCTGAAGATAACTAAAATATATAGTCGAAAAATAAAAATGCTTTCATTTCTTTAAATTATTTCATTACTTAAAGGGTGTATAAAAAAATTGCCATGTTATTGTGCGTTAAATATTGGGTATATGTATAAATTTAATTTCGCATCTTAAAAAAGATTAGGTCTTTAACTATCGAATGTGATATTTTATCTATCATTGCGTTAAAAATTGAACTAACATTCCGGGGGTCGTAGGTTCGATTTCCACCGTGGCCAGGCATGTTTTACGGGCTTGCCCGGTGTGGATGTACACTCAGAGTAACATCACAAGCATCATATTTTATCATCAGAACAAGCCTGCGAATATAATATTAGATAGACCTTTGTACTCATCGGCAACTGACGCGCTGTCAGCCCTGAAATGGCGTCGACGCAGGAATTTCCATCGCTAAAACATGAACTACGTGTTATCAAAGAGTCGCAAAACAACAATAAAGACGAGACAAATAATCGTTTTGTCAAAGCCGAAACAGAAATTAAACGACTCCAAGGTCGTATTGGATCGTTGGTCGAAGAAAAATCTCAGTTACTGGAAAGAGTAGCTTTCTTAGAAAATTCAAATGCAAAGCTCCATGAGGAAATCACATCCAACCACACCGAACCACAAGATCAACAAGTTAACAACCATATCTCTCAGAGCGAAACCAAGCCACAAGAAGAAAAGGTTCCAGGTGCAATAGATTCTACCGCCGCGAAAGCCAGTAACAAAAATAATGAAAACCAAGAGCAAGTACAAGATCAATCACCAGAATACGACTTTGTCATCCTTTGTGATTCGAACAGAAAGTATATCAACGCAGATCAGCTTTATCCAAAAGGAAATAACAAAGTCATTCCATGCGGAAATACAGCCAAAGCTATTGACATTTTAACCTCCCCAAGATTTACGGTGAAGCATGGCATCATTATCAACACTGGCGTCAATGATTTGGAAAGTTTATCACCCAAAGATATAATCGAAAGCCAAACTTGTCTAGTGAACATTGCTACAACCAATTTTCCGGACAAAAAGATCATTATGTCGAGTATCACACCTAGACGGGACGACCTGGATAAATTCGTCTTCGAGGTCAACAAAGCAGTAGCCCAAAACATTTGTAAAATCCCTAATGTCGTTTTGGTGGACAATGGAAATTTACGAAGTAAGGATCAATTCTACTTTGACACAAAACATTTGAGTAGGAGACACGGTATACCCCTATTTGCAACCAATTTAAAAAATGGGATTCGAAAATCTTTGGGCATCAATAATCGAAGAATTTCTGGACAACATCGATTTCCATACACCCAAATCAAATCATGGATCAAGTTGGAGTGATGTCGTGAAACAGAACCCCCCACTAAATAATTCACCAAATCAATCAACCATAAGTGAAGTTAAAAACCATCTCGTTGATCTAACCTCCATGTTTAAACAATTTCTACAAACAACTGTCAACCCATCTGCACAACCGCCATTTCACAATTATCCAGCTCCACAACCAAATAATCTATTTCCCCCCTCTCCACCACTTTTTCCGCCACCCTTTCCACCATCAGGATTAGTTTATGGTAATCCACAATTTGGAACCTAAAGCTAAGTAGAACAGCAATATTATGACTAGCTATGTTTGCATGGTGGGGTTTGCATATATTTATTTTTGTGTGTACACTCATTTATACAGGTTGTATGTATGTGTGTATATTGTGTATGTGTATTACGTGTTCTCAGGTATGTGTATGCTCAGTATTATTTATGTTGTATAACTGTACGGGTGGATGTCTTAAAATGCCAATTAACAGAAATTTTCTGCGGCTCTGTTCTTGGAATATTGAAGGTCTTTCAAGAAAGGTTGCCGATTCTGACTTTATTTCCACAATTCGTCAATTTGACTTTATTTCTTTAGTAGAAACCTGGTTATCTCAGGATAACTGTAATTTGAATCTTGATGGGTTTTACTCATTTTCAAAATGCAGAAAAAAAACAAAAAATGGCTGTAGAAACTCAGGGGGCATAACAGTTCTAGTTAAGTCTTCCATTCGTAAAGGAGTCAAATTTCTTGACAAAGAAAGTTGTGAAGAATTTGTTTGGTGTAAACTGGATAAGGATTTCTTTAACTTAACACAGAATATTTTCATCTGTTCAGTCTATATTCCTCCACAAAACTCTCCTAGGGAACATAGATTGAACATAAATCACTTTGAAACTCTTCAAAATGACATAAATAAATTTGGTAATCTAGGTGAGATCATTTTATGTGGAGATTTTAATGCAAGAACAGGAAATTTAAACGATTTTGTTGACGACTTTAGCGTATACAATAATTCCTCTGGTCCAGTTGATTATCGGAATTCTCAAGACTGTAACACCAATGTATATGGGAGAACTCTGGTCGAATTATGTTGTGAGAATTCCCTGATTACTTTAAATGGGAGGACTAAGGGCGATTTTGTTGGACATTTCACATGTCACACTTATAATGGATCAAGTGTTGTAGATTATACTATTGTTGCTCAGAGCCTTTTTTCTTCCTTAAGTCATTTTTCTGTCTCACCCCTCACAGAATTTTCGCACCACTGTTTCTTGTCCTTTGCTATAAAGGCCACTATTTCGGATTTAGTGCTTTGTGATTCTAATATAGCATTAACACCACACCCTTTAGCCTTCAAATGGAATGATGGTTTGAGGGGAGAATTGTATAATATCTTTAATAATGAAGAAATGAACGACCAAATGGATAAGATTTTTATTCATTCAAACGATAATGAGATAACCATCAACTCCCTAGCTAACCATTTTACAGATACTATTAACAAAGCAGCTACGAGTTTAATACCTTTCAAAAAATTGAAGAAGAATTCCAATAAGGTGGGAACGAATTCAATTCCAAAGCAGAATTGGTTTGATAATAACTGTTACCGTCTTAAAAAAGAACTACGAAACTTAGGGAAGCTATTATCTAAACAACCAAATAACCCTTTTGTAAGACACTTGTTCTTCACCAAGAAAAAAAAATACAAGAAATTAACTAGAAAACTTAAGAGGAATTTTCATAGCAATATATTGGATAAAATTAAAATCCTGGCGGATAGCAATCCGAAAGCGTTTTGGAACCTTGTTAACTCAATTAAATCCAATCGTACTAGTGGTTCCAACGAAATATCGCCCGTTGAGTGGTTTAACTATTTTCACGACCTAAATAAGACTAATTTTTCCTCTGAGAGCACTAGCACGGAGTCTCGAATAGTCGCCGATATTAACCTTTGGGCGACCAGTGGTGTTGAGATTCTTGGCAGTCCAATTTCTCTTTCTCAACAGGGGCCAATTGCGTCGATCGCGAGCGATCGACGGCTCGAAATTTTCATACTTTCGGTTCAGTGCATGCTTTGAAGACAGAAATACCACCAATCGATTCAGAAATAAAAGATAGACTAGTTCCAAACGATAGTTATAGTCATTATTAACATTGTAACGATTTATGGGCCTTTGAAAGTCAAACACGATAATATTGTATCAAATTACGCAATTGTCTGAACAAAATATAGACTAGCCATACCTTTCGCTGAAAATAACTTCGGCCCCTTCGCACATATCGTCTTTGTAATAGTCTTGTTCGAATCCCCATCAAAAACACTATTTAGAGTGTTATTTGCAAGCCTGTATCTTCAAATCTGTATCTTTTATCAATATATTTCCATTTCTTGTCCGACTGTGAGCTCGAAGTGAGTTAATCCCAACCGGAAATACGTCTGAAAACCGTCAAAACAATGCGACGTTTGTATCGTATGACCCTGGAAAGGCCAGAAATGGATTCGCAAGGTCAAATTGCACCTACACGCGTGAGTTTGACGTCATCCCGGCCAAAGGAGCTTCTTATTGGCCAATTATTGCGCAATGTACGCAAGTGCGAGTAAAACCCGATATCTTGAAAAATTCAAAATAAATATTTCTAGTCGGCGTATACATACGAAACTTTCTACACGAAAGCGCTTGAATACAGAGAGTATTTTACACGTATAGCCGTTCAGCAAATGACGAAAAGTTCAAGGGGTATTCAAGATCTTGTGGATATGAAATTTAGAATCTTTGGCCAAGCGGTGAGTAAATATATGATTGTTTCGCTTTGTGTAATGTTTTGACGGCACTTGACCCCCCGTTCGAAAGTTTATTTTATGAGGATTTCAATGGTGGCATTTATTTAAAAGGGGGGTAAATATTCGCGGAGATATTTATATTAGAAAAATTGTATCGAAATGTAATACGAAACCGGTTGTCGAGAAAGAAATAATTATATAATTATTAAAAGAAATTCACGACATCTCTAGAAAACTCAAACCTAACAAAGCAAGCGCAAACGATTCACTTAATAAAGAAATTATTAAAATATCATCCATTAGTTTAGCTCCTCACTATGTGAAACTATTTAATAAGATTTTTCCAAAAATATGGTCAGAAGGCCTTATTACTCCTATACACAAATCGGGAAATAAAACTGATCCTGGAAATTACGTACAGAGGTATATGCATCTCTAGCTGTTTAGGAAAATTTTTCACTTCAATTCTTAATGCACGTTTAAATGTTTTTCTAGAAGAAAACAGTATTTTGAACAAGTACCAAATTGGTTTTAGACATGGATTTCGTACGTCTGATCATCTGCTCTTTCTTAAAACATTAATAGACTCTTATAAGTTAAGGCGGAAACCTATGTTTGCATGTTTTGTTGATTTCAGGAAAGCATACGATAGTGTCTGGCGAGAAGGTTTATTTTTTAAACTGATAAACTACGGATGTAGCAGAAAATTTGTCACAATTTTACTGAACATGTATTCTTCTGTTAAATCAGCGGTTAAGCTTGAACAAGGTGTCACACCATTCTTTCAATCTCATGTTGGAGTAAAACAAGGATGTAACCTAAGTCCAACATTGTTCAACCTCTTCATCAACGATATACCTAATTTATTTAATACTATTTGTGAACCTGTGAAGTTCGGAGACACTGAGTTGAGTTGTTTGCTGTATGCCGACGACTTGGTGATAATGTCAGAATCGGAATCTGGGCTACAATGCTGCCTTCAAAAACTTGAACTATATACTAAGAAATGGAAATTACAAGTTAATCTAAAAAAACCAAAAATTCTGATTTTCGGGACACAGTATCAAAGACGACAATTTATCTCCACCAAGTGGTTCTTCGGGGACAATCCACTGGATTGTGTGAACGAATATACGTATTTGGGATTAACTTTTCATTGTGGTGGTAACTTTAAGATAGCGACAACAATGTTATACAACAAGGCATTACGAGCTTACAATTGCCTAATGCAGAAATTTTCAAATGTAGAGAATATACCGATTAAAACATTACTGAAACTATTCTATTCGGTAGTGGTTCCAGTTTTATTATATGGTTGTGAAATCTGGGGTGTATGGTTACTGGGTAAAATTTCTTCGTTTGAACTTTTCCAAAAGAGATTTTTCAGTGTGGTGAATAAAATGGAATCACTTCAGTTGAAATTTTTTAAACGTATACTCGGAGTTCACTCGAAAAGTACAAATCTAGCAGTATACGGTGAACTAGGTAGAGTCCCTCTAATAGTACAGATCTCTACTCTAGTGACAAAGTATTGGATACGAATTAAAGATCCGAATTATATGAATACTCTTGTAGGAGAGGCAGCGAGTTTTAATATTCGAGCGAATACTCAGGCAGTTAATTTTACAAACCATATATTAAAACTATGTGATCTGGGTTCACTAAACGGTATTTCTCTCCCACTTGAAAGTTTACATAATGTAGGTACATATCTAAAAAATAGATTATCTACTTATTTTACTCATTTTTGGAAAGATCAGATTGAACAAAGTCGTCACAGTGGTAAATTAAGAACTCTAGTACAAGTTAAGAATAATTTTGTATTTGAAGAATACCTTCATGAAATATGCAATGTTAAGCATCGCCAAGCAATAACAAAAATGAGAATATCTGCGCACAAGCTACCGGTTGAATCTGGAAGATATACCAAAACACCATACGAAGATCGGTTTTGTACCTTATGTCAATCGAGTGAAATTGGAGATGAATTTCACTACTTATTATCATGCTCCAACCAAAAAATTTCAGAAACTCGAAATATTTTTTCAAACGAGTTATATGGTATCAATAGTTCTTTCCGCCTATTTGGTACAAATAATTTATTCTTATATATTTTTAATATACATGATAAATCTATCATGAAAATAGTAGCAAAATATTTTCATGATATTCTTCTATTATATGATAATCAGTGCATTATGTAATCATGCATATCTTCATTCATGATATAAAAAATGTTAATGC